AATTAATTTCTGGTGCCGATTTAGAAAGGCTAGCCAAAATTTTGTCTGAATTATTTATGATTTAGTTAATATGTTTATGATTTATTTAATATTAAAATTAACATATTTTATAGGGAAAATCTTTCGATCGAGTGGTTCTTCAATGAAACCACAGGTCCCTATGTATATATACCTAAAGGCGTTGAATATGACTAGATTAATATGAATTGCTTTTTTTACCTGACAGTATTTACCCTTTTTACTAAATTTTAAACATGTACCTATTCTAATAATAATAGGTGCCTCTCGTATTTTAACTCTATTTTAAAGGCATCTTATAAAATGAAGTCAAACAACTGTTTGAATTCACTTGAAATTTTATGTAAAACATTTTTGAATTTGTTTGAATTAGCCTAATGCCTTTAAAATAAAAATTTTAAATTTTAAAAAATGTATTTTTTTTAAATTAGTTCTCAGCTATAAGAAGTGATACACCTATATCTAACTTAGGTAAGTTCTGTCAATTTATCAAAAATAGGCGTAGATACAAAACAAAAAATTGCATATCACAAGAATGAAATTTTCCTGTAACATTAAATTATAACATTATGCAAATTTTGTTTTTAATATATGGTGATTCATAGTTATTATAAAATAAATAAAATTATTATAAATTCGTGTCCAACTATTTACAGGGGGTCAGAAAATAAGGAGGTATTTCAGTAATATTGTTGGAAAAATTACGTTTCCAAAATAATTGTATTTATTGTATTTCTAATTTAGTCTTTCTCGCCGTCTATATTTATTTTATGAAACAAATTCCCAATTTGTGTCAACTGAATCTTAAATTTTAGATTATCTTTTAACTGTATAAAGGTGTATTTAACGTATTTACTTATTACCTGGCCTTCCTATAGATATAAAATAATATTTACATATTACAATAAAGGACACATTTATCTTGTATATACAGGGTGATTCAGAACTTATGCGAAAAAAAATTTGAATGTACAGAGGGCTCTTACAAATATAATTTTGTTATCAATAATTAATAACATTTACTTGTAGTTTCAATTAATAAAATAATTTGACATACCTGCGATATGTTACAACAACTGTTCAAAATTTGGTTTACCAACGTGTAAACACATTTGGGCCCATTATACCCAGTTTCTACGAACTAACACAAATGCTGTCTTGCTTCACCATAGCATAAATGTTGTATTGCTTCACCGTAAATTAAAACGATCTACATCAACTCCCGAGTTGCTGTAAACGTAAGCCAGTTTTGACACTTGAAAAACTAATGTAAACACTATTCGGAATCACCTGGTGCCACGTGGAGAGAGCGCATTGCGTACAGCGCACAACGCGAATGACGCTAGAGATTGCAGTAGTTCAGCTATGTAAGGGTTGTAAATACTATACAAGGTCGGAAAGTTACCGCCCATTTCGCCCACAAATAAGATCCACTTCTTATTTGTGGAAGGGCGAAATGGGCGGTGACTATTAGACGCTTTCATTATAGCCATCTTTCTCTATCGCACGGATTTCTATGACTTACTTTATCGCTCTCACGTAACGGCCGATGAACCATGGGGACTTTCCGACCCTGTATACTAAATAATTTTTTTACGTGGGTAAACTATAAGGATTTTGCAAATTTTTATTTTACGATATTGACTCCATTTTGCAAGACGCATCTATTCCCAAATTTTTTTGAATCAGTTGTGAATCACCCTGTATATTACTTTTAAAGGATATGTATGTAGATATTCATGTAGCATTTTACCCACTTTATATATTTTGCTTTATACTTAGAGAAAACAACAAATAAGAAGAAACAGAGTATCGTATTTATTTGCGTTTTTTATAAATAGAAGTCTTTAGAATAGAATAGAAAAACGTTTTCATCGAACTACAATGATCTAAATTCTAAATGTTGAAATGACTCTCCAGCAGTGTGGGAAATATATTGAAGCAAATTGTGGCACAAACTGTGTTGGGCAAAGCTTTAGTTGTCTGCCAACTAAAAACATTTTATTTCTTCTATCACATTATCTATGCTTATAGAATATTTTCGTTCATCTCCCTTACTATTAGAGGTACACTCCTCAAATTTGTACCTATGCCATTGAAAAGAAAAACAAACTTGGTTGTTTTTGCGGTCGGATCAGAAGTAGGTACAACTATTGATGGTATTTTGAGACTTATTTAGGCATCGCTAATCGTGTAATACAATAAAAGGAAAAATATATAAATATTTATCCATTATTCTTTTTAAATAATGTTACCACCTCGAAGTCTTGGAGAACTAGTGATAATTTGATGAATGTAATTTGATTCCTGATCTTTTTGAGTATTTATTCTCTTGACTATTCAATTTCCAAATATCGATAATATGCCCAATAGACGACTTCTCGGAGAGGAAGGAATATTTTCAAACAGTTAAGAATGGATTTTAAATAGGAACAATACTGTCAGAATCCATAATGAATTTTGTGGAGAAAAATCTCATGTTACATTATCCGAAATATAACGAAAAACCGAGTTTTTTACACTATTAAGTTAGGATATATCTAAAACCTGACGTGAAGACTTTGCCATTTTTTTTTCAGTAGTCAGTACAAGTGCAAAAATATAACGAGGTACAATGTTACATGAATAAATCTACACATTTAGTTTACACATAATAAAAAGCAACTCAATTGTTAAAAATAATATTTATATTGCAAACAAAATGTACACATTTACATACAATGCTGTTAAGAATATATTTGTTAGCACTGTGTATATAAAATTGTTGATTTATTTGCTATAAATAAATTTTAAAATTGCACTAAAATATGTTACAAAATGAAGTAGCTACTAAACTGCTTTAACCTGCAGTACAGACAAATAAATACATATATTATTATTATTTTTTGTACACTTTTAATGTATCTATATATCTACATTAATGAATATATAGATTTATAAAGATGCAACATATTTTTTCAATTCATTCCACCTGGTGACCTGTTACTTAAAACTTAACAGTTTCAAGCTGTGCTAAAGTGTTAAGACTCAGATTGTTCAATGCTATCTCACTGATCGTCAAACACTTTTCCTCAAATGTATGGGGTTCCCCAAGGTTCAGTGTTAGGTCATCTTTTATGTATATATGTAAAGTTTATGAACACGCATTGATATGGACCATATAAAATAATTACCTATATTGTAAAATAGATTCTGTCATTTTGAAAATTTACAAAGTAGTCTTTTAATATTTAGCAAACTTCCACTATTTTTTTCACATGTTCATATTTTATTCATCCAATCGGCGATCGCATTATCTCGATTAATATTGAAGACGCTAAAACTTAGGAATATTTAGTTGACAGTGCCAACGTGCAATGTTGATTGCCTAAGCTCAGCGGTCACGTGACTAATAATAATTTATGAAAGATTTGTATATATGTAAAAATTAAGTCACTAAAAATCACCAAAATTGGCCAACAAATTGAAACCGGTTCTGTTTTTAATTTCTTATGAAGCTATTAAGATTCAATTTTTGTTACATGCACCATTATAAAATTTAGTTTCTTGATCAATTTATTGGCTGAAAAATTGATAAAAGTAGTTTTTTACAAATACATAAAACTAAAAATAATTTTTTTTAATAAAAAATTGAACTTTGTCGTAAATATAGAATAAAATGATTAGAATATAAAAAAGCAACTATAGTTTCAGGCTTTCAAAAGTGTTATATTTTTTTCCCACAAGTTCTATGCGTTTTAGCGTATTATTTATCAAAATAGTGATGGTAGAAAAAAAATTGGAAAGTAACACAGCCACACAAAAAAAAAGTTGTCTGTACTTTTCATGCGACATATGTTATCCGTAGTATTTTTGCCTCCTGATCACGAATCCCGTGTCAGAATTGAGCCATCACATCAAAGGAATTTCCTAACCTCAAAAAAATGTCAAAAATAACAAAAATTCACGAAAAAGTGCAAAGAAAAATACAAAAAATGTTTTTTTCTATATTCAAATCTTCATTTATATGAACATTAATTCACAGTCAGAATTGATGGTTCATTTCTTAATCTCAAAAAAAATGGGTCAATTAAGGTCAGACATCACGAATTTTCAAGAAATAACAGATTCGCGCCAAATTTGGTACACGGGGGATTTCGGGGTCACTGATCGCGAATCAATTCTGCAAAATTCAAAATCACGGATCCAAGATGGCCCACCAAATTTTCAAAAAATAACACGTACGCGTCAAATTTGGGATACGCGAGTTTTCGAGGTCGCTGATTACGAATTCGAGGTCAGAATTGCGAAATTCATTTTGTAATATTTTTGTTTACTTTATAACCCGAGTACCCAATCATGTTTTAACCTTTTTAAAGTACATAGGCAATTGATTAAATTTTCTAAAACTAATTTTGTAAATCTGATCTCTGATAGATGTAGGACCATAAAAAAATAATACCCTTTCTTAAAATTATTTTATTGACTACTTAATGAGACAAAATAAATATTTCATTATAAATGGCACAAAATTGCACAACTAGAATATGGTAACGTAAGTAATATAAAATATAAAGAAAAAAGCATATCAAACAAAGAGAAAATGTTATAATATGATTTATTTTGTATAAATTTCCTTTTATAAGTTTAATATACTTTTTGTACACATAATAATATTTTGTATGAATAGACTAGAAAAGGAAGTAATTTCATTTTTTTCACACAATACTTAGTTATGAGATGAACAAAACTTCTTAATACTAATAAATTGTTTAAAAATGGCATTACTTTTTGGCAAAATTAATAAACTATCTCAAAATCTTTTTATATAAACAACCTAATTTAGAGTAGGTACGAATGTTTTTAAAAGTATATATAGTATATAAAATAAAAAATAAGGTAGTTATTCTGACTTTGGTTAAATTAAAAATCGAAATGTACTTTCGATATCAAAATTATATTATGACAGTTAATACTGTTAATACATTTTTAGTAAGCAATAATTTAATAAAACTTGTCACAGTATAAACAAATCAAAAATTCAGTCACCGAAAAGTTAATAATTTGTTAAATTTCCGTCTACCAAATATAATCAATTGATAACTATTAAAAACGATGAATTGATAATTTTTCAAATAAAATAAATGTTAATAATTGAGTTAAAAATAATACGCAATGCGAAACTGTTGTGTTTATCCATATTCGGATTGAATTGAAAGACTAAATTGTCCAGGAGTAATTGTTGTTCCGTGATACCATACTCGAGTGTCCACTAAAACTAAACACTTTATATTATAGATAAAAAAAATAGGAATAAGTAACAGTAATTGCATTTCACAAAGAAAAGTTATTAATAAAGGGACAAGGATCGCACAAAATGAATGAAATGCAGACAGATGTCCTATGTCCTATTAATATTTGTTAATTTCATTCGCAAAACCATTTCAAAATGCAATTCTAAATAAAATGCAGAAATAGTAAGATCTTTCTATCAAAGCTATTTCTATGTATTGGTCTTTGTTAATGGTGATGTTAGAACAAGAACCCAGGATTTTCCTTTGAAAGATTTCATCCTAACAATTTTAATGTTAGGCTTATAATAAATTACTCTATGAATCTTTTTTAATTGTAGTATTGCCTGCAACTTTTTAAGGAAGCCAAATCATGCTTAAATAACTATCTAAATTGGTTTAGTTTTATCCAAGAAAGTTGTCCTTAAAATATGGTCTATTCATTTTGGTACATCCATGCGCAAGTGGTTTGTTTAATTTTATTAAGTTTATTTAATTAAATAAATTCCAACAAACCTGCGTCTCCTGGTTCTGCTAAAAAAGATAATGGTTTGCACACATGGTGACATTCTGGAGGAGGATGCAAATGCCATATTTTAGATCCCTTCAGCTGTGCCTGCCACATTAAACGGTTAATAAAGTCTAGCTGAAACATAATTACATAAATACATTTTATAAATTTACTAGCATATCGTTTAAATAACAAGGTATCAACGAAAGTTTTAAAACTCATTTGCCACCAAAAGAAATCATTGTAAATAAAAAAAAGTCATGTGGCACCGTCTATATCAGCAGTTCCCAACCTTTTTTATTTGTAGATCATCAAATGACAAAGTATCTTTTTGCAAAGATGCATTGTGAGATCTAGATAAAATCAAGATCAAGAAATTGTTTTTGTTCTTATACTTCAGAGAAGCAGAAGAGAATCTCACCTTTTAACAGCTGTGTCAAGATTATGTACTATTTATCATAAAATATTGTGAAAAGTCAAGAATTTAAAGGCCGGGAGCAAATTTCATTAACGATTTTGATAACTTTCTTGCAGCTAAACATTGTTTAATCCTACTCTCCAGGATAGCATTAATTAAAAAAATTATTTCTGTAAAATTTTGAAAAAACTTCTCTTTTCGGATTAATAAGAATTTATGACGGACTGATAACAGCCAGTTGGGAAACACTGATTTGTGTAACTGAAAACCCAATTTTATTACTGTGACTTTTTTATAAACAGGTAAGTAGATATTAAAGTGGTAACGTAATTAATGCTAAAAAACTTACATGCATAGTTGCACCATCATCATATCCCATGAAGACATACTCTTTTGAAGGAATTTCACTATCATCTGGCAAAAAATGTGGCTTTGGATAGTGTTTTCTCATTTCTTGTAGTATAAGTGGATGACAATTTCCCCTAAAAATAGATAATTACACCCTAGTCATTTTGGACACTAAAGTAAAATTTATGCAAGTCGTCTACAGTCAACCTCGGTTACAATATAACCACTGCAGTGAAACTTATGTCAAAATGAGCAAATTTTAAATCGAAATTCCCTCTAAAGTCAATGGAGAAAATACATGTTTATTGAATTAGTACATTACAAACCTTTCCATAAAATGAACCAGTTACTAATTAAATTTGATAATATATTTGCTTACAATGAATTTGGCCAAAAAAATCATACATTGGAGTAAAAGCAATGGTTGTGTCTCAGGTCGTGTTAATTCTGTTACAGAAATTAATCAAAATGGATATATAGGGGATATATAGGTATGGATTCCTACATTGATTAAAGTGTTCTCAGCAATATAGCTGAATTAGGAAATTATTCAGATGTCATAAAAATAAAACGAATTTTTAAATAAACGAAAATAACAGATTATTTTATAGAAAGTGAGTCGAGAGAATCGCATCAAACTCCAGAAATGGATTCTACGCGTCAAAATAATTTGTTTTCAGTTACATAAATATAATTTGACTTCCTTAATAAGTTTTGGAGAAACATCTAGTATTAAAAGAAGAATGTTATAAGTAGGTACTTACCATCCAACATACCAAGATTTTTCTTTAGGATTATTTTCCATTCGTTCCTTTGTCATAGAAAAAACATCTCGGAGAGAAATAAAATTGGATTTGAAATGTAAAAACTGGCATTCATCATCCACACTTTTAAAAGCGTCCTCTACGCTGTTGTACAATTCTTCAAAATATTTTAAAGAAAATGTATGTCGAGCTGGCCAATGCAAAAATGCTTGTTTTATTAACACTGGCTTAGAAGTAAAAGCATGCGAGGAAAATTCAGATTTTGTAGCGTTCAATAACACTATCGGTGCGGATACATTGATACAAAAACTACAATTGGCTGATGGTCGAACAGCCTCCCACACAAAATAATTGTTGCGGATAATACATCTTATCCCCAAAAAATAATCCAGTAATATGTGAAGCACATTTGATTGATACAAAATATAAATTAATATCAAGATGACAAATAAAAATATGATTATTGTGTTGTAAGTATCTTTAATTCCAAAACAATTCTTTTCCAAATCTTCAGTACATAAACCTAAATTGACATAGTCTAGACTTAATTTCATAAATTTTTTTCTGACTTGGTAATTTTTTTTATCTTTATTAGACATGACTGGAAATGGAAGAACATTTTTACTTTTCAAAATTTTGATTTTTGTGTATACACTTAAACTGGTCGACACATAAATCCGAAAAAAATACAATACAATAACACTATAACCTAATTAATTACTTATGCATAACAAAGATGTTAAGAATAGGATAGGATAAATTCTGCTGTTCAATGGTTAGTTTAAAACAGATCAAGCTGCTTTCGTTTTGTAGAATTTCTAGAGCTGAGAACTACTTAGTACTACTTCTACAGATTTTGGATATTTTCATTTGATAAATTCGAACGATAAGGATTTAACCCGCAATATAATAGACGAACAATACAGATCGATCTGTGCAGTTTCAACGTGCTTACAGTTCAGTGCGAACAACCGAGCTGAGCGGACGTGCTTGTTTGTGAGGTAAAGTGATTGCAACGAGCAAAATCTACCTGCCTTTATTAAGGCTACCTGGAAAGAATCCCTTTC